TTCTTTGATATATTGGAATATATTCTTCTTGAAATTGATAATGTTTTAAAAGAGAAGTGCTTTGATTTACAAGAAGATTTGAGTGAAATAAAATATATATATCTCATGAATGTGAGCAATGATGGAAGATGTGTTTATTACAAAAGAGCGAAACTAATGAATTTAGCAACTCAATGAATATGTAAATAGGTTTCTCTTTTGAGTGTAATCTCTATTTAACCTTAAGAAAGAAATACATAAAATATTTAAATTAATTAATATTTAATTGTTAATTATATAGAATAGAAACAAAAGTAGAATAGTTTCGTATGATACATAATTTAGCATATATAATAATTTATAATTCCTTTTTTTGTATAAATGGAAAGAATATATGGTAATGTAAAATAGATACAATTGTGTTAGATTTGATTTTATTTAATGAGAACAAAAAATCAAACTTATTTGTTTAAATGGAATTATACATTTTTTAATAAATCAATTTAGTTTGTTATTTTCTATATATAAAAAAAATATTAAATTATTTATAGTATGAAATTATTATTTCAGAATTTACTATATTTTAACTTGAATTTTATAAAATTTATTCATCAAGTTTTACGAAATTAAAATATTTCACATTAATTATTATTTGACTAATAATTTATGTTTCAATTAATTAAAAATTTCTTTTAATTCATTTAAAAAAAATAATTTTTATATGCTTTCTATATATGTATTTGTAAAAAAACAAATAACATTAAATTATATCTCTCAAAACTTTTATTTGAAAAGAAACATAATTTCAAAATTATTTCAGCTTTCATTTACACAATTATTATAATTATAATATATAATGATTCATCTTGTATGATTCCATAGAATATCTTTTCAATTTCATTAAATAAATCAAGTCTTGAATAAATATATAGAACAATATTATTCATCATATTATAATTACGAATAACGTCAATTTTTGATTCCTCCTTAAATTATACAAAATTTTGTTAAATTTGATTTTTTTTCTCGTCTAATTTACTTTGAGAGAGGAAAGATATAAAAATTATCCTACGACCCAGAAGATCTTTGTAATCTCTTAATCTATGGATGTGGATTATGTATTTTATCCCCATCAATAACACCGTCGAAAATCCGAGATTACGATTTCAGAGGACGCCCCTATACAGAAAACAATGGTAGAACATATATCGTGAAGGCATAACGTTAAATTTTCTGTCCCATTAATACCATCTACAAGCTTCCTCAAGAGATTCCATTCTGGTGAAATAGTTTCTGAACCTCTTGTAACTCCAGGTTCTCTCAAACTTTCATTTGAGCTCTTGATCGCTTTTGCGTCAACCGATCTAAGAATATAGTTCTTCCAAGAGTTGATATACTCTTAGAAGTGAGTTTAGAAAATTTATAGAAAGAGGAATCTGAAAATTGCGATGGATTTAAAGATTATCGACTCGTTTATGTTTTAAGAATGTGTTATAAACTTATTTAAACTTTATCTTCTTTTAAACAGTTTTACAGTTTTTCTTTTTCATTTTTTCATGTTATAGAATATAGTGTATCTATATAATTGAAAATTTTGATGAAAAATCAGATAAGTCTAGATTTTTAAATTGATTCTTCATTCCAAAAATCATATTGTTAGAAATGCATTGGACTTGTCTAATTTTGCACAAAAATTTTATTAAAAAATAGATTTGAAGTAAGATCTTCAATTACTGTGTTACACAATACAATATAATTTCCAATGATTTCTAAATATAAAAATAAGTATTAGGTTTCTATTTTTTCATATAAAGTCAATTTAATTTTTATTCCTGTTTTGAGATATTCTATTTATTTAATTGAAGATTAATCTTAATGTTATTTATTTAAATACTTCAACTTTAAAAAGTATTCTTCAATTATTTCTCCATTGGATTGATTTTCAAATATAATAATATTTTATAGATTATTGCAAAATTATTTCTTTCTAGATTTTCAATAAAATTATTTTAATTTTCATTCTAATGTCCAATTTGAGATGTATCCCTCTCAAAAGATGATTCTTCTCCATCTTTTTCACAAATTGAATCCTCAAAAAAATCATAAATTTAGGAAGCAGAAGTCTCGTCAGAGTAAATCCGTTTTTATGATTCATACAAGGAAAAAAAAAAAATGTTTGTGACGTGTAAAACTCTCCCCTAGAAGTGGTTCACGGATGATATTCCTTTTACGACTCACGATACATGCTACCTTTCTTCATTCGGACCAACTCGAACGTAAATAGAATATACCACGTGTACTTTATGGCTCGTTTATCGAATTTTTCACATCAATCTGGTGATCGTTTTGTTTATCGCATTTTCTTTTCATTTCATATTATTTAAATCGTCTTTACATCTGAAATTTTTTCTTTTGAAAATTTTGAAGAAATTTAATGTATGTATAAATTTGAAACATTTGTAAAAAAAATATTGAATCTATTTAATATTCAAATATATAAATTTCTTTATAATAATAATTAATATTTAATAATATTTTTATTTTATATTTTATTTAATATATAATTTTAAAATAATTAGAATTTTCTTGTTATAAGTAATAATGTAAAGAAATTTTTAATAATTAATTATTTATAATTATTAATAATTAATATTTAATAGATTTTTATTTTTCTTATTTTACATTTTACGTAATGTTTAATTTAATAATAAAAATGATATGAATTATGGAATAAGGAATTATTAATCATTGTTCTTGATTAATATTGAAATTGATAAAACTATGAAAAATTTAATTTTACTTAATAAGTTTATTTTATAAGGTTTTTGTCTCTTATTGATGCATTTAATCACATAAAGTGATTTCCACTTGATGTTCCATAAGTGTTAGCTGTATTAGAAGGAACTTTATTCATGAGAATACTAATGTAATTCTAGAAGAGTATTAGCACTTTTATTAGGACCATTCTTCTTCCTTTCTTCGCGTGCTTCGAAATCAGCCTTTAATAATGATTAACGCTCCTCCACGCTTAAGAATGAGGATGTAATCTGGCTTAAAACGTTTCATTGATCATTAAACTATGACCTCAAGATCTGAATATTCATATTCGAAATTTCATATTTAAATCAGATTTTAATTAAAATATTATTATCACAAAGGATAATTACAAATGAATATAATTTAACTAATTTAATTTTCGCAGTGATGGTTGAGCCATTAAATTAGATTACTTAAATTAATTATAATGATAGTGCTAATTGAGTAAGAAAAACTTTAAAATTATCTCTGATCAATATAATTTCATTTTATTATTTATAATTAATCTTTAATAGATAATATTTCTTATAGATTTTAATGTGAATATGAATATATAAATCATTTTTTTTCAAAATCACAGTTTTTGAAAAAAAAATTCAAAAAAAATTGTAATTTCTTCAATTTTGGAAGTCTTTTATTATAATAATAATTATATATATATATATATATGTATTTTATTTAAAATATTATTCCAAGAAAAATGTTCTGCCCCAATAATGCATATAGAATAATAATCGTAAAACAGAAACGCAGCAATTTTTACAAATTTTCTTTTAATTTTCAACATGGCTGGGTCATTATACCATGTCCTGGTTACGTTCCCATTTATAATCCTCACCCACTTCTCAACGAAGGCGAAGTCAGAAATTTTCAGAAACGTGTTTCACGGGTCATTAAGGTTTTACACGTCGCCAATGTGATTTTCTTATCATTGCCACTCCGTATCGATTTTTACGGGCGGATTTTCATGGAAAATATCATAGAGAAAAGTCGTTCCTCGTGTATGAAACATAATAACATATGATTGAAGATTATAATCTTCTTGCGAAACTATTTATACATATATTAATATTTTACTTGTGAGAAATTAGCTATCTTTTTTTATTCCTCCTAAATTTTTTTTAATATGATTTCTTTTATAACATTGCATTACTAGCAAAAGAATGTTAGATCTCTTAAAAAATATTAAACTGAAACAATTTTTTCTTTTACAATATAATTTCATCATTCAGTAATAGAAAAATTCAATTCTATCTCTTGATCTATTATTTTAATTAATTTATAAACATATATATAATATATTTAATTGCGTATTATACATATTATCAATTTATTTCATATTTCATTATACATATTATTTCAATTTATTATCAATTTATCAATTAACAATTCTAGAATTGCTAAAAAGTTTAAAATATCCATTTGTTATTTAATTGTTAATTTTGATGTTTCAACATTTTTCACTGTGTCATTAGAATTTCAACGATCATTTGCATCGCGATAAAAACTTGTCACGTATAAACGTAATATTTAATTAAACTTCAAGGCTTTTTATTATTTACACATAGCGCATAGATAGAAATAAAAATTAAAACGAATAAAGAAAAATATTGGACAAGAAACATGCAACTCAATGCTTAACGGGATGAATATTATTGCTTGAGCAACTAGTCCATTGACATGACACGTTACGCGATTCATTACAATTTGCAATTATGGCACGGTGTTGCGTTACTTTGATACATTATATACGCCCTCTAGCGATTAAGTTGAAAATCATTTTGCGAGTCGAAATAATAAATGATTTTTTCAATCGTATAAATGGAACAGAAAATTAGACTTTGTTAAGAATTCATTTTTAACTTGGACGAGAGAATTATGACAATCCAAAAAGAAAAACGAACAATAAACTATTATAATATTTCTTAAAAGATTATTAATTATATATATATAATTATATATATATAATTATATATATTTACTTATTTTCATCACATCGTTTTAATTACGATTATTTATACGTAAAATAGATTTTATATATCACGATGTTGAATATTTTTGTTGCAAAAATGTTAGATCAAGAGGAAATTAAAAAAAAAATAGCGAAGAACGAAAAGATAAGAAGAAAAAAAAATCGAGAAGCAAACGAAAGCATAGTATGCATCAGCTGTGAGAAATGCTAATCATTCGTTTCATTCTCTTACCTGGTGCAAATCGCTGCCACAATCCACGCCACGAAACAAAGAAATGTCGCTCTAGCCTTTGTGCACATATATCTGTAGTATGAAAATACAAACCAAAATCGTGATTTTTATCCAAGATCCAAGATAACAAGGATTTAATATCAATTATGTGCTATATCTGATAAGATTTTCAACATTAGACCGATTGAAATCGTACAAGAAAATTATTGGATTTGAAAAAAAAGTCGACACGTCTCATAAGGAAGTGGTAAGCAGCATATTCTTTTTTTTCTTCTTTTTTAAACACAATACTTTGGCACAATGATAAAGTTTCAAGAAATTGGGTGTTTCGTTTCTGTTGATTGAACATTTGCGTAACAATTTAAGTGTAAAAAAAAGTATATTTCCGTGTAAAAGATGAATATTATTGTATATACTAAAAAGAAATGAGAAATAAATGTGTGAAGATGTGTAAGAAGATTTGATATATTCGATATATTTTTTATATTGTATTTATACATTATATCGATGTAAATGATGAAGTTTGACGAGTTTTATTTTTCTTTCCACGTTTCTGTTCATTTAATTTTCACAACATTCTTTATCAGGTATAACTTTGCATTCGGAATATATATACGGGTCAATGCGTGTGTTGACCCGTATATACCTAACCTAAATTTCATCGTGAGCCTCTCTATTCATTGTTAGAGTCATATTCAATATTCATATTAGAATTGCAAATTCTCTTTAATCACAATTTTTCAAATCGATATTTCTCTCTTTAAAAAAATCTACATGGCTTCATCGAATTCAGATTATTGTATATTTCAAATATGAGCTAAAAAATTATTAGACTTTATTTAAGTAAAAAATAAATGAAAAGATATATCTTTATTTATAAAATTACATTTTTATTTTTTCAGACAATCATTACCTATTGTGTAACATAATTTTTAATCAATGTATTAATTTTTGTTGTCTTTTTCTCAAAATCTTATCTATCGTACAGTTTAAGCATCTAGTGTTTTCACCTGCTTTTGACAAAATTTAAAAAATGAAAAACAAACTTTTTAACTATAATGAAAGAATGAAGTCTGCCATGGAGAAATGGTTTCAAGACTTTTAGAAAAATTATTGCAACGTTGACGATAATATATTGCAGGAAATGATGATTATGTGGGGAAAAAAATGTGTAAATTTAAAATTAAAGAGTAAATTGTCATATAAATTTATATTTTTTTTTATTTTGTTTTACAAAAATATATCTTCTCGTTTATTTTTTTATTTAAATGAAGATAAAATTTTTCAGACCACTCTCATATTTCTCGGGCAAGCTTTTCTGAGTATTTGAATATTGGTTGATTTCGTAACTGTATCCATATGCATTCAAAACACATTTAGAAAGATGTTACGAGTTTACTTGAAAAATATTTTGTTATCCTCTTTTCTTACTTACCCAACTCGTAAGGGCTCACAAATTGCATAATACCGTTCAAAACTGATGGCTAGAATCGTCAAAACTGAAGCGTGTGCTACGGTTAATTCAACAAATGGTACAGCTTTACCTGAAATTAGAAAAAGTTTATTGTTAAAAAAATTATCAATCTCTAATAATTTTACATCGAAATATAAAAGAAATAATTCAATTAAATAAAAGAAAAAAAAATTATTGAGAAATATTATCTTAGAGAGGTTAAGAAATTAATTTGGTTAAGTTGCTCTATCGAATGATTGGGTTAATTAATTACAAAAAGCAATCTTATTGGTTGTTAATATTTATATATTTGTTAAAGTTTATACGCAAATATATAACAAATTAATTTTTTATCGGAATAAAATAATTGATTTTTGATTCGAACATGATTAGTAGTGAATGAAATATTCGTAATATTTCAGAAATTTAATCTTGTTTGTTTATTAATATTTACCAATCGAAAAATTATCGGAAATTTGTATTCAAATAAATAAATATATTTTAATATTTCAATTTAAACAATATTAATTTTATTATTAATTTAAATATTCAGAAGTTAGAAATATTTGACTCGTTTTGATATCTGTAATTAATGGAATGAATTAATCATTCTTTATATATCAAGAAAAATTCTTTTTCTCTGATGATTAATAAAATTTAACACAATTTTTACGTTTAAAATACATTTTATACTTTGTTAATTGTTTATTTTCAAAAACTCGTTGTATTCAATCCTCTTGTTTCATGGCACAATTGAATTTCGATTAAGAGTTAATTTTCACGTATCAATAACGAAGAATTACAATTCGAGATTTACGATTCCATCGTAAAGAAGCTTGTTCGACAATCAGGATGTCGCAATAAACTGAAACATCACTCTGGATTCTAGTATTTTCAGTGTCTTTTTTTTTATTTACTCGATATTCACTATAGAATCGATCAAACAATTTAAACCTCTTGTTCGGAGTAATTGTTTTTTTTTTTTTTTTTTTTCTATAAATGCGTCACAACAAAACAGATCCTATTTTTAACATAGAGTCTTTCAAAATTTATTATTCCTTTAAAACTCCACTCTCAAATATATTCTCACAGTTAATAATTAAGTCTTACTAATTAAAGTTTATTTCACATTGAATAAATGAAAAATTATTTTTATATTTTTCGCTGTAATAATTTTTAATGACTTTTTAATTTTTAATGAGAAATATCGATATAATACAGATATTACAAATGTAATTTTTATTTAATTTATTATCAAAGACATATCATGTGAAATGACTTTTTTTAATTAATATCGAATTTTGTTTCCTTTTCAATAAAAATATATTTAATATATATAAATATATTTCAAGCAAATATAAAAAATAAATCTTTCTTTTAGACTTAAACTTAAATTCGTCTCACAAGAGGTTAAAATTAAACGTAATTTTTTTGGAGGGGGATTAAATCTAAGTTTAGGAGTTTAGAAGGAATTAGGAGAAAGTAATAATAGTATCTAAAGATTCTAAAGATTCAGAAAGCACGTTGAGTGCATAAACCATGGAACATTATGAGTCACTGTGGACCATTGATCCGCTCTAGATCTTGTCAACGAGCTTCACTCATGAACACAATTGTAACAAGAGGAATTTTTCTATTATTATTTTTATTTTACAATAAATTTTTTAACTTTAATTTTTTTCTCCTTAATATTATAATATTGTAATATACGATTTTTTATGCAACAAAATTTATATTTTAATTTTTTATATTTTCATCATAAAAATCATAAAAAATGTTTATGTAATTTATAATAAATATATATTGATATATCTATATTATAAATCATCGATAAAAAGAAATTTTTTTCTTATAAAAATCTAAAAATATTTGAGTTTGAAGAGATATATTTCACGCAATAAAAATAAGATTGCTTATAAAATTAATAAGAAAAATCGTAAATCGAGATTTATATTTATGACGGTTCATTTAGACAAAAGATTATTTCCATGAGTGATTAATTTCTGATTCTAACTTCCATGGTACACATATTACGTATGATTTATATTAATGGAAATATAGATATTAAATTAAAAGTCAAAATATAACGATAAATCGTAAATTTTATTGCATATGATTTAATAATATTGAATGATAAAGAAATTTTGTTTCTTCGCAATATAACAGTATATGAGATGCCTAGGCTGGTTTACTCAGAATATTGCATTCTTTTGAAATGATTGAATTGCTATTAATTTTTATTTGTTTCGTTGTTTGAATATTTTTCTTGTGACGTGATTTTGAAATTGAAATAAGATAAATAAATTCAAATAATAGAGAATTGTAGTAAATTTAAATTTTTATAAGATGAATTTGAATAAGATGGAGATGGGATTGATGTAATTTAAGATAGATTATAGTTTGTTTGAAATCAATCACATTTCATTTTTCAAATAATGTTAGTAATAAAGTTTTAATTCTGTTCAATTTTTATTTTTAATAAAGATAGTTATAAGAATTATAAAAAATATTTGAAATGAAATGATTTTTTAATTCATATTTTAAAATTATTTTATTTTATTTATTTTAAATCATAATTTAAAATTTTTACAGTATCTAATTTTTATAATCATTATTGAAATATGATCATATGATATGATATATGTAAAATATTTAGATAATATTATTCTAATATTATTCTAATTAATTAATATTAATTCAAATGTTGCAATAAATACAATGATGTGCAAATATTTTTTATAATCATAATATTTGAGAATTAAAAGTTGGAAAAAAAATTAAACAGAATATTTTCAAATAGATATATTTAAATAATTTTGTTGGTAAAATTATTACAGAATTATTGCAAAAATATCATTATTCTTGTATGAATAAAAAATATAAAATGGGTCAGTTAAAAAATATCATTCAATGTTATGATTTTAAAAGAGGTAATTAGAATAAATGTAACATTTCAGACATATTTCATTTGTTACATTTGTGAAAATGTCAAAAATTTTAAGCAAAATGTCTTTTATATGTCTGTTTCATTCTCTTTATATAAATATCATGAAACTCTTTGAAATTCCATATCTTCCACCACATATTCAAATAAAAAAAAAAAATTCATTAAAATCACTTCATTTCACTAAAATAAGTTTAATTAAAAATTCGCTTTTTTTTATACAAAGCAGAATTATATTATATAATTTAGTATATTTTAATGCAAAAATGCATAACTTTTATACATTAATAGCCGAGAATATGTTAAAAAGATTTTAAAAAGTCGATAAAAATAATTCATTTCTTCAAGTTTCATACTTCAAATATTTTTTTCTTGGAAAAGAAAGAATGCATTCTAATGTGTAAACGAAAAAGAAACGAAGTTAAGGGGAGAAAACGACGGGAGAAAGGCGCAATACGATTTCAAAAGTTTACCTTGGCCATTATATCATCGCGTGATGGCGCTGTTATGTTATATCGAATGTAAATGTTATTAACATACATGAGAACGCGCCTGCATAATGTTCGTTTTGAAGATTCACGCGGGAATATTTTGCACTTTTGCTTTTCACCTCGTCAACGAGATTGCTGTTACACCTGCTTTTTTTATGAAACGAGAAAAAGTGAAGATAAAATATATTTTCCCATGGAGAAATGAAATATAGTTGATTAAAATTCGTTTTAGAAAAACTATCTAGATCTTAATGAAAACTAAAATTAAAAAATATTAATATTTATGAATTATGAATAAAAATATAATAAATATAAAGATTTATAAAAATAATTTCTTTTAATTATATATCAATATAATTAAAAAGATCATTTCTTAAAGTTTCATACTTACAAAAAAATAAAAATAAAGTAGAATTATATAAATAATAAATATGCATGTTAGAATATTTTTATATACTTTTATATATAAAAGAGTAAACTTTTAACAGCATTTTGTTTGAAATAATTAGAGATGAATGAATTATTCGATTTTGAAAAAGTTAAATAATTTAAATATTAAATTTCAGATATAATAAATTAATTTATAAATTAATTTATAAATTTTTTATAAAAGAAAATTTTTAAAACTGTTTTAATAATTCACAAATGAAACGATATAACAAAACATATTGATTTTTGCATTTACTGTTGAATTGGCATGAAAAAAATCGATAAAATGAAAAATTTAAGGATCCTATTATTGAATAACATTCAATAATTCTATAGAAATACATTTACACACATTTACATTCCATGCTCTCAAATAATTCTCTATAAATAATCAACTCTCGAAATTTTTTCAATATTTTTCATACAGTATAAATTCTGTCCTCGTACAAATTTTTTTTCTCCTTGATCTTGGTTTCTCTATCAGATTTTGTTAACGAAAGTGTTTTCTCGACCGTGAAATTTACGTCTGATAAGAAAGCACAGCTTAGACAGCTTTGTCGTATATTTGATTATCGTTATCGTCTATCAGGTCTATTCGATAGTTTGTTTGCTGGAAAATTCTCCCTATTTCTATTTACTAGGAATTTGTCAAGAAATGCAGGACAATAAGAATGATTTGTGAAAAGGCACAATTTTGATCCTATATATTTTGAGAGATATTTATATTTCATTTTATTTATTATTATTTATTTTTTAATATTGTATTCATATTTAATATTCTGAAATGAAATTTCAGAGTTGTTATATGTTTATTCGACTTCATGATATTAAGAATAATATATTAGGAAGTATATTAAAAAATAATTATATCTAAGAAGAAGAATATTGTTGATTAGAATTTTGAAATCAATAAAAATTGTATCACCAGAGTATAAATCAAATGTATACAATGTTCTATTGAAGTTATTACAATTAGCAAGAAAATGATAGCATATTTTATGATTTTCAGTATTTCTGGAGAAACTCAAAAACATCAATAACACACCACTACTTTCAAATATAAAAGAATTACATTTTTAATTAAAAAAAGCACATTGATGTAGATCATAGATCAAATTAATTTCGAGCCAAATTTTAAAAATTGCAATCATATAAGCAGATAAAATACCCATACTATATATTCATATACTATAAATTACTATATTTCTATCTATATGTATATTATAG